CAGGTCGGGTCGGCGCGGTCTCAGCAGCAACTGGCCCAGCGTTGGCCCCCAGGCAGCCTCGTGCAGGGGCCACGCCTCGGGGCTGGCATTGGGGTCGGCGCCGCGACCAGCAGGGTGCTCACGCAGGCCGCATGGCCTCGGGCTGCGGCGATGCACAGGGGCGTGGTGAGCTCACGCGTGTACTCCAGGGTCCAGAGACCTGGAGGAGGGGGGGAGGTAAGGTGAGTGGGGAGCACCGGTGGAGGCGGTGCCCATTAGGCTGAAATGGGGAGAAACCATCTCTTGAAATTAGGTACCAGGAGGCCGTGTGGGGGGATATACAAAGTCGCAGAGGGCTGGGACAGAGAAAGCCATGAGATCCAGGCAGGCACACAGATGAGGGAGAGGAGGCGGGGGTGTCTAGGGAGACTGAGACCAGAGAGGGTCAGAGAGATACCAAGGGAAAACAGAAGTGAGGAGGAGGGGCGGCGGAGAGTACACACACACACACACACACACACACACACACACACAGAAATAGAGCAGGGGAACAATGGGGGTGACTGGGTGCTGTTGGAGGAGTGAAAAGATGACCAAACAGGGTGGGCAGTGGGACAATTAAAAAATATATATTTTTTATTGATTTCAGAAAGGAAGGGAGAGGGAGCTAGAAACATCAATGATGAGAGAAAATCCTCCATCGGCTGCCTCCTGCACGTCCCCTACTGGGCATGTGCCCCGACCTCCTGGTTCATAGGTTGACATTCAACCATGGAGCCACACGGGCCAGTCATTGTGGGACAATTTAAGTGAGGAATTCACATTTTCCAGGTTCTGAATGAGGGGTAGCTTAAAGGAGGCAAGTGAGCTGTGGATTTTTCTGGAATCCAGCTCTCTCTCATCCAGCCCCTAATGTACCCTGTATCATTAAGAGGAGAAGGCAGCAGACAAAACAAACTGACCCACAGCACCCACGTTGCTCAAGAAAAGGACTCGGAAAGTTTAGGCCCCTTGGAAGTGGCGAGTTTCAGAAGCGCACTTTGATGTGGTCGGCCACATTCGGCACAATTCTGGTTTGTTTCTTTGCGCTTTTTAGGGTTTTGTGTGTGCGTGTGTGCGTGTGTATAGATTGCTTTCTCTTGCAGGATGAATGGAGCGGTGCCATACATTTTACTTCTCTGAAAACTTTGGGCTTTCAAAAGGCCCGTGGAAGGTTGTTAGCGGCCAGGAGTGCTCGTGGAAATGGAGGAAGCAGTCCCTGGCGAATACACTTCAAGGGACAGGATTTCACATGGCAGGCATGCCTTCTGATAACGATGGAAGAATCGATACCGTGTCTGTAATGAGCTGCGGAGGAGACCCTTTCACAGGCCACCTCCTTCCTGGGACCCATGCTGCGCAGTTTTGAAAGGCCACTCATAATTACCTTCCTGCAGAGTGCCGGCCCCGCATCCCCTGGCCCAGCCTGGAGGTTGTTTCACGCTCCGTGGGATGGTGTGGGGGCCTGTGTCCTGGTGGCGGATGATGGTGGCCTGAGGCCCAGGGGATGTGGCTGGCACGGGTTTGGACTGCTTTCCCAGCGAAGACTGTGTCTGATTGGGAGCCGGGAGGATGGGTACAGTCCTTGATGACAATGACCTACATTCCTGCAGGGCCAGCCCCCGGTTCTGGACTCCACTCATTTCTCTGCAGCAGGAAACCTACTTACTGAGGGGCCAGGAAGTGGGTGCTCCATTCTCCAGTGCCTGCGGAGTTCTCAGCCCACCTCCCCCTCCCCCCAGCAGCTCCATTCACCTGCCCCAATGCCCAGGTCTTCCCATGGAATGATGGGAAGGGGCCGTGGTGGGCATTTAGCTCAGCCCTAGATTAGGGCCAGCTCCCTTGTCCAGGCCCTAGGAAATGGTGCTGAGCATCTAGCCTTTAAGAGAACAGGGTTCTGAGATGGTTCTTGGGATCGGAAAGCCTGAATCAGCTTCCTATGACTCCCACCCGGGTCGCGGTTCTGCCAGCAGGAGGAACCCGGATGCAGGCTTCTCCCCATGGGCACGTCCTTCTAAACGTCAGTGCCGTCATGCCAGGGCTCTCCTTGGACTCGAGCTGGGATGCTGTACCCAGGGGCCAGCCACTGAGACCCTGCTTGGTGCACCCCCACCCCCTGGCCCTGGCCACCAGGAAGTCCTCACACGAGAGAGGGCAGAGGTGTGGAGCTGCTGATCCAGCTGCGAGGGAACACAGGCAGCTGGGCTGGAAGCAAGACTCCAGCGGCCCTGAGCACTGCCCACCCGCTTCTAGCCTGCACCAAGGCTGCGGCAGTACCACCCTCTGGGCTGCCCTTTTCCCGCTGACAGCTCACGCCCCTTCTCTGTCCGCACTCCCTATTTCCTGTCAGACAGGTGCGCCATAGGAAAACACAGATCTTAGGGCTGGGAGACTAAGGAGGGAAAAGGAAGGAGGGGCAGATTCAGGCCATGGGTAGTATTGATGTCTAGTTGAAATTGCAACATTTGAGCATGCAAGTGTTCAGGGCGGGGAGGTATGTGACAAAAAATAAACATCCATCAAGCATTCAAACAGTTGGCATTCTTGATTGAATTGCCACCCAGCCCTTGGCGGAAATGTGCACCCCATCTGGACCAGGTGAAGGAGAGGAGGCCCAGGCTGCTCCAGGACTCCCTCAGCTGGGAGGTGGTGCAGCCGGGCAGGAAGGCATCCGCCTCCCACAGCCCCTGCCCCCTACTGGCTGCTCTGAGCAGCTGCAACAGTACAGTGGTTGCTACCGCCCACTCCCCCACCCCCTGTGAGGTATAAACAGAAGTGAAGACAGCATTAGTGTTGAGGGAACAGCAGGGAACTTTATGGGAACAAGGGTCCACTCTGTGCCTAATACCCTGCTGGGTGCTGTGGGACACGCAGTGGGGGTAGAGAGCATGCAGACCATGTTTGCAAGGAATGCACAGTTCACCGCATGTAAGAGGCAGGTGGGTACAGAAAACGATGAGCAGAAACACTGGGGGCCACTTCCCTAGTCACTGTCCCCTGCGGTGAAGGCTGCTCTCCCATCACTCACACACCCTGCACTTGCACTGCTCATTTCGGTAGCAATGCTAATTCTTCGCCATTTCATTTCTCTAAGCATCACCATTTTCCCATGATCTTTCCCTCAGACTGCAATTAGATCTGTTTCTGAAGGACTTGTCCATACACAGCTATACCTGGTCTAACGTGAGCTTGTACTTCACCTCAAACTGGACAAGTCTTTTGTACCTGATACCCTTTGTCACGGGTTATTTTGAGAAGGGCTGGGACACTGGGGTGAGTCCAGGGATAGGAGCCATTCCACCTTCTTTCTATGCTAAATTTAGCTTTCCAAGCATGGTATTTGTCAATAGCACCCTACACGTCCAAGCTGGATTTCAGTGGGTAGGGAGTAGTAGTCCCAAAGCACATGGTTCTTTGTGAAAGCTTTTAGACTAGCTCACGGTAGACGGCGCTGGTCTCACAAGTAGGACGTGTGGATTACTTTGGGAGCAAGGCAGAGGTGTCTTTTTTTAAAAATTAAGAACAAGCATAGCTATATGTGTGACTATACATTAAAACACAAAACATAAAAAATAAAACAAACTAAAAACCACACAACAACAAAAATACCCTCCACAAATACCTGAAAACCAATCCATTCATCCATCTATTTGTTCAGAAAACCAATCCATTCATTCACCCATTTGTTCAATAAGCATTTATGGACTATAATGTTCTAAGTTGTGTTGTTAGGATTCTGAGACAAAAACAACAACAACACAACACAAAACAATAATCCTGCCTTCAAGGATCACACAGGAAAAAACAGTGACCAGAGGACCCCCAAACACAGGAGTTCTTCAGTCTTCCTTTCCACGAGCCGGGCGAGGTTCTTTAGTTATGGGTGGGTAACACTGTCCCCTGACCCAGTGCTGTTGGCTGCGCTCCTTGCCTGCTGCACACCAGGCCTGCCCATCCTACCTTGCTGGGATCGAGCCATTTTAATCTCACTTTTCTCATCCTCAGCCTTCTACGCTTAGTCAAAGCCAGTGCCTAGCCTTCAAGATACAACTTAAATGCCATCTTCTCTGCCTACTTCAGTCCAAATAAACTCAACTTCTTCCAAGAACAAAGCTGTGTATGAAGTTGCTGAGCAAGTGTTGAAATCTTTGATAAAACAGAAGAAGGAGCAGAAGACCAGAGTTTTATGTTTCAAATGGAAAGAGAACTTGGATTCTCCAAGTTTAAATTGACACCAGTCCTGGGCAAGGTCCCTAAATGGAGTAGGAAAGAGATGGGTTGGAGGTATTTAGAAATGGGAGTGGGGCACTTGGCACTCTGGGGGCCACTAGGAACACATCAGGGTGGACACAAAGAGTTTTCTTTTGTGATGAGGTCGCTTCCTAGATAAGCAGAAGGATGTAGGCATAGTCATGCACATTTCAATCTGCAATGGAAGTTTTCATGAAAACCTTTTAGAGAAGATGGAAAAAATATGGGTCTTTCTTTAGGAAACTCTTGCTTAAAAACTCACACTGGAGAAACAATACCCATGGCACCTGCAGAGTGCTGGTTCCCACCTTGGCTGTCAAGTGGAATCACCTGCATCCCAACCTGAGCGAGTCCAGTGTGATGGGTTGGTGTGATGGGGTTGGTGTGACAGGTTGGTGTGATGGGGTTGGTGTGACGGGGTTGGTGTGACGGGTTGGTGTGATGGGGTTGGTGTGACGGGTTGGTGTGACGGGTTGGTGTGACGGGTTGGTATGATGGGTTGGTGTGACAGGTTGGTGTGACAGGTTGGTGTGATGGGGTTGGTGTGACAGGTTGGTGTGATGGGGTTGGTGTGATGGGGTTGGTGTGACGGGTTGGTGTGATGGGGTTGGTGTGATGGGGTTGGTGTGATGGGATTGGTGTGACGGGTTGGTGCGACGGGTTGGTGCGACGGGTTGGAGGGAGCAGCCTGAGCAGCAGGACTGGTGAAAATTCCCCAGGTGCTTCTGGCACACAGCACGGCTGAGGACCGAGGCGCACAGGGAAGGGTGGAGTCTGATTTCAGCCTGAGCCTGCACAGCATGCTTGTCGATGATCTGAGTGAATACATGGAAGGGTGGGCCTCCCACTGGTGGGTGACGTGGAGCATGACACAGTCAGGACCCCTAAAGTGCTCAACAGGCCAGAGCAATGGGCTGTTTGCATCAAAGC